CAATATTTAAAATTTTATTAAAAATTTTAAAATATGCAGGCAAATTTGCCTGTGTTACAATCTAAGGGATAATAAATCATATAGTTCTCCGCTATATCAAGAAAATATTTTTTAAGCATCAAAAATACAAACTTACAGCAAACTAATTTAATCAAGTATTATTAGTTTGCTAATACTTATAGTAAGTACTTTTATTTGGAACATATCAATATATGATGAAATCAATTTCGTCAACAGCAAAATAATTTTGTTAAGCATCTATAATATACATACATATATATGTCATGTCAGGTAAATCAATTGACTCTGGTCTTTTTTCCCTATAATTGAATAAATAAAGGCAATCAAGATACTAGAAGCATGCGAAGAAAGTATTATTAGAACCAAAACTAAAGTACAAATAATTAGAATTTGAAAATGAGCCTATTCATATTGTGGTAATTGGTGAACAAGAATTGAAAATCTATCGCTATATTTATTAACCAGCATGATATTTAAATAGTGGGAGAAAATAAAAATTATATCATTTTTTCACTATTACATGCTTTAGCATCTTTTTTTCATGAAATTGAGCTTTATATGTTGGACTAATGACTATAAGTACTTTTAGTTGATTTATATACCAATTGATATTAGCTGTTTGGTATCAAGTAGTAATCTGAACATGATCACTTCAATGGTCGATGCTAGATTTGTCTCAATGATTGCTGTAACTAGTTACAGCAATCATTGGGATGATTCTACTATATTACTAGTAGCGAGATATTTCTATTCCTTTAATCAGAATTTCTAGAGATGTTATAGTCTAGTCTAGTTCGGTCTAGTTTAGAAAAGACTGTTTATATATTTTATTTATTGATTTGTGAACTAGACCAAACCAGACTAAAGACTATAATTGGAGTCATTATCAGAGCCATATAATCAGGTAATAATGGCAATATCCAATATATTATGTGTATCAGATTTATTAGCTCTGAACTGCTTTTAATTAAATTTGAACTTGAACTGTTATTTAATTGCTAAAGCAGTTATTTTGGGACTATAATATCTCTGAGAATTACTCAAAGGTTGCTAGTGTAAGTAAGAACAATTCATGGAATTGAAACATGTTATTGTAAATGATTTAGAAATATCTAAATAAAAGAATTTATTTGTGGTACCAGATATATTTTCTCTACCACGGAAATAGAGATTCTTATACTGTAATAAGAAATTAAATATATATTTTATTTTATATAAAATTGCTATATTTAATGTCGTGGCTGAAGCTGGAAATGGCTGAAGCTAGAAATTTTAAATATTTTAATATGAAATTTACAAAAAATTTTGTAATGCATTTTGTATGATTTTTTTTATAGTTAGATTAGAATTTAGGGTTAGGGTTTATAATAAAAGAGTATAGTTAGATTTTAGCAGGGTTTATAGTTTTAAATCGAGACCTCTAATTTCCAGCTTCAGCCATGACATTTAATAAACTTATAACTTTGTTTATATTTATATTAGTAATGTTGTATTACTAGCTATTCGAAAAATAAAATAAAAAATTTTAAACCGTAAGGTTAATAAATTCTTCTAATATAGCCTGTCTTTTACTTTCATTACGCAAATAGCTGATATACTTTTTAAGACTACACAAATCTTTCATTAAAGATGAAGTAATTTCTAGATCATTTTGCTAAACATATTTTATCAAGTTATCAAGTCCTACGATTGTATCCCCAATTTTAACCATTTCTTCTTGTTCTTTTTCTGATTCACTCTCATTTTGTCCATTAACTATATCAACAATTTCATTTATAGTTAAGTCTTCTTCGATGTTCATATAATTATCAATCTCGATATATTCTTGTACATCTAAGGGATCATCAATTGGTAAATATTTAATAAGATTAATAATCTCTGCTTTTAATTCGGCTTCTTCAGATGCAGAGGCTTCCAATTCAGTTTCTTCATACATAGTATCATCCAAATTTTCCATAGATGGAAATATACCAGATCTACTCTAGCTACGAATAATTGTACTTGAAGTAACATTTTTCCATGCTTGAGCTACAAAATTAATTGCATCATATAATGTAATATCAGGAGGAACCAGATTGTCTTCAGTAATCGTATCATAAGCTTCAAGATAGTTTTGACAAAAAATACGCTGATATTGTGCCTACAAGAAAAAATAATAAATATAATTTTTTATTGAATAGTAAAATTATTAATTATATATTTAAAAATTACCTTGAGGCTATAACCAATTTCTTGATCAATAGGTTGAAAACAAGATGTTGTATTTGGTGGTAAAAAGTGTATACAAATATTTGATAAGTCTTGAATATTTTTTGAATTGTGTGACGAAGCATTATCAAGAAGTAAAATAATGTTTCGTTGAGCAAATCTCATTTGACTATTGAATCATTCTAAAAAATGGTTAAATATACTTCTTTGTATCCACCCTTTTTTATTCTAGTAATACCAGACTAGAAGAGTAGATTTTTCAATACCACGAAGAACACGTGGAGTTTTGTATTTGTGAATAAAGAGAAGTGGTAATTTTTCATCACCAGTAGAATTACAAGTAATCATAACTGTAACTCTATTCTTTGTTTTTTTTTTTCCTAAAACTGGTCCATATGCGAGTGTCTTGCTTGGCTCAAGTTGCCAAAAAAGTGCTGTTTCATCACAGTTAAATATATCTCTAGGCTCATAATTTCGAAGAACATCTTGAAATTCTAGACGAAATTTTAAAACATCTTCCAAAAGCATACTACCAGCTTCTCCTCGACATCAATAAGAAGAAATAACATTTCTTTTTTTAAAATTAGCCAGCCAACCATCAGATGCATTAAATCCGGTAATTTCAAATTTATTAGCGAATTCCTTAGCCTTGGCTTGAAGAAGATGACCAGTAAGAGTAAGTTCATTTTTAATTGCTTGCTCAACCCAAATAGACATCACCTCTTCAAGTTCAGAATTATCAGGCTTTCTTTGACGTTTAGCTTGGATTAAAGTGAAGTGTCATTGAGACCTAACCAGTACTCAGAGTGTTTGAGAATATCAAATACTGATTGTTCACTTATTCCATACTCTTTAGCCAAATTTACTCCTTTTAAATTAGGATTATTACATTTTTTTT